ACATGACCTATGCAATTCAATAGTATGTGACCCTATTCTTGTATTTTTAGGACCCAAAGCGATAGCATGTATACCAAGCTCATATGCGTGTTTAGCTTTGCTTTTCGTAGAAATCTTTTGAATTTGTCTCTAGTGTAAGTCACTTATAAAATATGCCTAATCTTTGTGAAAAACTGTCTGGCGCTGCACAGGGGCGACGCTCATGTTACCTGCGATTGTGCATTGACATTTGCTGTGCGCTCCACAAGCATTTTAACCACATCGAAATGACCCGCCAAACTAGCTATGTGCAGGGCGGTGTTTCCCTTTTTCGTCGCCGCGTCGACGATGGCGCCGCGAGCGAGCAGTTCTCGTACCACCTCGACATGGCCCTCCTTGGCGGCGAGGTGGAGGGCATTCAGACCATTCTGGTGGAGGATCATGCAAATGAGAGAAGATAGATGCATTTGAAAAAGTTCTTTACCGAAAGAATCCTCTTTATGCACTGTGGGCTGAAAAGATATGGGGCATATGAAACTAAATGAGGAAATTAAGGTGTCCAATATGAGTCACCTCACTGCATTTGATATACATATTAATAACGAAAGATTAAACAATATATTCTTCTATAACAAATTAAGTAACCATACCGAAATTGCATCCACTGTGACCCAAAATAGGCGTTTCTTCTCAAGGAAAGTTAATCTTTGAATGACACTTGCTCTTGAATATATGGTCCGAAATTGAATCATTTGTAGTAATGACTGATACAAATAGATATCAAAATCTTTGAAATCAGAGGCGCATATCAAGCAAAGATCAGATATTTCTCGTTTGTAAGTAGGTTTTAAAGACTACCAGTAGATTATATATATGAGATGTATTGACCCTATTTCATTATGGTGTGGAGGACAGGTAGTTGAATTTTTCCACAATCATATGAGTAGGCCTCACGCTTCCAATGAATTTCATATAGTCTTGCCTCCCAAAAGACTACGTGAAATTTAATGTAAACGTAAGGTCAACTCATATGATTGTGGAAAGATTAAACTACCCGTCCTTTACACTTTAACGAAATAGGGCGAATAGATCTCATATAAAGCTTAAATGTATTTGAAGCAATAATTCAAAACGAGTACTTTTTTTAAGAAGATTTGAGGAACCTTCGAATAGTTCATTAACTTAGGCTTAAACGGCTGGCCAAATCCCTGAGGGTTTACTCCTTATTAACTTTTTTTGTTTACTGACTTGTGATAAAGAGGCCTTAAGACGAGAATTCTTCTAACCTGATTTCTCTGTTATAACATTATTGCCCTGGCCAGTTGTCTTGACATCAGCAGGTTTATAACTTCCTCTTTCCTTTAGAAAAGGCCTGTCACATGACGAAGTTGCTTATTATATGTTTACATGTTTATATTATTATATTCAGCATAATCGGTACAACCGTAAGATAGTGCCATGTGAGGACTCAGATACTACGACAAGATAACGACAAAAATGTGTTCATATGTCATCATCCCTAAAAGCACCTAAAATATGATGTCTTGGCAATTCCTCCAAAAATATACATGTAAATATTTCTGTGTGGAGCATAAGTTGTAAAATAGGTGGAATTTATTCCGTCGAGGAATTCAACTCACATCGGACCTAATACAATCTGTACCATTCTTGCATGAGGATTACGGTTAAACACACCTTCTTTAAAGTGTACACTCTTAGAAGAGAATATCATAGAAACATATTCCTATCATAAATAAGTTAGTATAAAAAGATAATGATTAGATCTTATCCTTTCAATTAAATTAAATTGCTGATTAATGCAAATGGGATAATGATAAATTATCGTTGCCCTTTCATTTCTAGAGGACATTCATCTAAGGACCATATAAATCGCTTTCATTGAGAAGTGGTTATCTCATAGCTGACTACGTTTTCATGTTCTATGCATCCATTTTGAGCAATTCTTTACTCTCTTCATGACATAATACCACCCTTAAAGTCACTTTATATCCTAACACTAGCATGACGGCCCTTGTAACTTTCCGAATTCTAATTGATGTGCCTAAACGAATCCAAGAGTTTCCGCCTGAATTATTTTGTTCCGAAGACGCAGTACTGAAAGCCAACAGGGAAACTGATCTTTTAATGCTAATTTGAGAACATGATTGCCCAAGCAATTTATTTTATATTTGGTCTCTTGAATCTAGCCTCACATTAGAAGAAAAAATTGACTCTGGGAGTTAATCCTAACTTAGATTTGATAAAAACATAGACTCTAACAAATCCGATCTCCCCAGCCCCACATATAAAAGTAGTCAATATAAGATAAATTAGATTACATATTCACTCATAATTAAATATAGCATAGTAGAGGGCAGAAGGCATAAAGTATTCCGATTGAGCTCCAAATAAGTTGTCGCACTAAGCACTTTATCCTTTCTAAATCCCATTTCAGACTCATTGCGATATAGAGCTGATTAGTGCGAGGCTTAATGACACCAACTAATGGGCAGTTAGTGTGGGCATTTCCCTGCTAACTACAAATTTATGAAGATAGCCCTTAATGCCAAAGTTAAGGGAAATACCTCGTTTCAAAGTCTGCAATTCGAATTCTAAATTAGCTGTAGGTCATGCTAATATAATGCCCCATTTATTTCTTTATTAACTCGCGTTACTCCGATGTGGAGTTTT